AAAGTCTAGTATTCAATGCCTGATAAATAGTACTTAAAATATATATTCTGTTTGAATATGTCTTGAATGAGTTGAGATGCATATAAGAATTTCCAGATGTTGATAAATAAAAATATGAGTCTGAGCTCAGGAAGGAAGATACAGATGATGCTATAGATTTCAGTTAATTCTAAATTTAGGACTGTTGCTTTGGCAGATTAAAACAAAATTCATCACCAAATAGTTTATAGATGTACTGACTACTAAGAAATACATAATTTTGTTCATGTTGCTAAATACAATGTGTACTTTTTAGTTCCCAATTTAATTGATTTCTCAGTTTCATTCAACATGGTTGATTAGCCACTCCCTCCTTTTTCAAACAGTCTATTGCCTTGGCCTTAGTGATGCCAAGGAAAATTTCCCCCAACCTCTGGCTACACCTTCTCAGTCTCCTTTGCTCCATTTATTTTCCCCCATGTTTAAATATTGAAGATTCATAGGGGACTATTTCCCTATATCTTCTCTCTAAATACTTTCCCCTTAGGCAATCACACTCCCCCCCACCCCCGCAACTATAACATCAATTATAAGCTATACTGACTATTCCCAACTGCATTATGATCAATACCCACTCCTTCCCAGAAACTAACAAACAAAAAACTGGTATTTTCCCAATATTCCCTATGTTAGGTACAAGAACCACTTACCCAGAAATCAGTCTTCTCCTCTCCCTAGACCCCCAAATCTAATCCATCATCAAATCCTATCAATTTTACTTTGCAAATATTTGTCAAATTTAGCTACTTTATCTCTATCACCGCTATACTGGACCAAGATTCCATCATCTCTTGCCTAAACTGCTATAAAGCCAAACTCAATTCTACTCAAAGTGGTCTGTGGCCCAACACTGTTTCATGAACTATTATTACAAGGTAAAAACTAAGAGGGAGCATTTAGAAATTTTTATAGTAATTTGACACTGCCACAACATTCATTTTATTGTTACTAAAGTACCAGTACGCATTAGAAACCAAAACACAACAAAACAGGTCCTTAACCAGATAATTTTGAGTAGCACTGGCCTAACTGGTCTTGGTTTTTACAGTTGCCTCTCCAATCTGTCCTCCACAGAGGAGCCAAGTGTTTTTAAAACGAAAATCTAAATAACTTACTCAGCTGTTTGACATTCTCCAGTGCTTCCCATTTCTTTTAAGATTAAGTACAAAATGCTTAGCAATAACTGACCAGTGTGACCTCTTCCAGTCTCATTTCACATCACCCAGCCTCACATGCTAAGGTCCAGCCCAGGACTCCTCAGTTCTAGAGAGCTGAAATCACCAGCAATACTTGGGTAAGTCCAGTTGGTTCTTCAGGTTTCAAGTCTAAAAGTCCTTTCTTCAGAGAAGCTTTCCTTGATACATTAGCAGGCTTTCACTGTTTACAATAATTTTCCTTTGTGGCAGTTATCATAACTGTAATTGTAATTTTTGTAATTATTTGTTTAGTTTCTTTATTCGCCAACAGACTTTTGCCTCCATGAAAACAGGTACACTCCATTTGCATGTGTCACCAGAGCCTAGCACAGTGACTGGCACAAAATCAGTTGTTCAATAAACTCTTGCTAAGTGAATAAATCCAAGTCAGGAAACAAAACAGTGAGCAGGACCACCAAAGGTAAATGCTTTCAATATCTAGTCATATATAAGACTTAGGATAAGTCTGTGTATAGGTGCTTTACAAACGTTAAATCTTTTTTAGTTTCCTAAACAATCTAAAAATACAGAGAAACCTTTAAAAAACAAACAAATGCAAAATAACAAAAAGGAAAAAGAAAAAAGATTTTTCAGAAAGATGAACAACCCTGTCTAAAGTAACCACCATGGAACTGGAGGGTCTGAGATGTAAGAGGTTCTACAACCGTATTTCCTGGCTCTGCTGCTTACTTAGCTGTATGATTTTGTGGAAATTAAGCTATCTCTCTGTTTCTCAATTCCTCATTTGTGAGACAGAGACATAATAAAGCCTTCTTCAAAGGATTGTTATGATGTTTAAACAAGTTAATATATATAAATATTTGAAACAGTGTTTGCCATAGTGTTTTAGCAATGTGAGAGATTATCATTATCTTTAATATTACCAGTATTCCCTGTATTATTGTCTGACGAAGCTTTTGTCAACCAAGATTCTGTAAGAATTAAACTCTACAGAAACTGAATTAACTATTTCCTCAGTTCTTTCGCTCAAGTATGGTATATAGCTAGTACCATTTTAGGTACATAGGAAAGGAGTTAATTCATTATATAGTTTGGATGCCTTAAAGCAACGGTTCTCAACCTGTGGGTCGCGACCCCTTTGGGGGTCGAACGACCTTTTCACAGGGGTCATCTAAGACCATCGGAAAGCACATATATAATTACATATTGTTTTGTGATTAATCACTATGCTTTAATTATGTTCAATTTGTAACAATGAAATTGGGGGTCACCACAACATGAGGAACTGTATTAAAGGGTCGCAGCATTAGAAAGGTTGAGAACCACTGCTTAAAGCATTAGGTCTTGATATTCACTGAAACCCTGGTTGGGAAGGGCTGTATCCCCAATGCCTGGCATGAAGAAGGTGCTCATTAAGTATTTTTGGCAAGAATGAATATTTACAAAACCAAAGGAATAGTGCTTAGCACAGAGTAGATGCAAATGCCAATTTTACTGCACCCCTTCAAAGTTCCCATAAACTGTAAAAGTCTGATTCCAGAGGAGTCATTTTTCTTGAATGAGACCTGCTTGTATTATTCAAAGCCAAAAATACAAAATGCAGAAAGTAGAAAAGCCAAGAAACAAACCAATGTTGGCAGGAACCATGTGGAAATAATAAGAGGTAAAAGATGGGTAGAATTTGAATATGCAGGGGAAAGGGCAAAGGTTATTTATTCTAGGCCAGGAAATAGCTTAAGCAAAGGCAGTGTCACCTAAAGTTTGGAGTACATTCCGCTTGACACAAAAGTGATATTAAGCTACACATGGGCAAACATCTTTATGCTGGCAGTTGCAATATGCACATAATTTTATGTGTGATTAGGACAGCAATTTGAGATTTCAAAATTTTACTATTTATAACACTAAACAGTACCTATTTGATACATTTTTAAGTGAGTTGTTGCAAAAAATGTATTAAAATAATAATACACAGGAGGTAGGCAAATAGCACAAACATTGTCAGGGTTTTAAAGAGTAAAATTTGGGAAACATCAAGGACTGGTCATGTGCATGAGCATAACATGTTAGGAGAGAAAAGCCACCAGCCTTCTGAATGAAGCCAAAGCTCTATCTTGAGTAGCAAGTCAACATAAACGACAGACGGATGTGGAGAATCTCACCAATTCTGAGTATTTAATTTGTAGTACTAAAATTCACATTTATAAAATCCTCATTTTCCACTATGATATCTCTGCTAAATAGTTCAACTTCATTTACTCTCAAAACAAATGGTTAAATTTTAAAATTTCTAAGCAGGTACCTGAAATTGGGACTGACCTGCTTGTAGCCTGGTAAACTTACCTGAAACTGGGGAGCTAAAATGCTGTATTTTTCACACCAGCAGGTGTGAAATATGAATCCTATCTATATCAAAAAGGGTATTAAACGAAACAGAGCAAAAAGCCAGCTTTCGATCCCTACCTTCCTCTCTCAAGATTAAGTCATCAATAGTAAGACCAAGTCAAGAGATAATAATAAAGAACATCACTGGATGCCTACACGCGCCAAGCAGGGTTGCATTTCACCTGCATTAAGTCCTGCGATTCCCAGCCCCTTCTTAGGCAGTGCATCACTATCCCCCTTTTACAGCTGCAAGAACACTGAGGCACACAGAGATTGAACGTCCTGCCCAAGGCCAGCGCTGGTAGATGGCAAGGCAGGGGCTTAGATGCTGGCAGTGTAGCTGGAGCTGAGGTCTTCACCACCAGCCACCAATTCTCTCAAGAACAACAGGACAATCTGAAATACTCCCCTTTTCCCAGTAAGGCAGGGGAGATGTAATTGTTCAAGGCGCGAGCCTTTTACGACTCAAGTTTCCAGTCTAAGAAACAGTGGACTCGGCTGTGAGTTAAAGCCGGGGAGACGAGTATTATAATGGCACAGCCTAGGCCCGGGGTGACTCCGACATAAACAAAGCATCAGAAGACCCAAGAGCACGGCCGAAGGACACTTCACAGAGGAAGACGCCAAGGAGTTATGGTGAACAAACATGCATTTTACTTATATTGGATCTACTGCTCCGAGGGGGGGAATCCCACCATCCCCTTCCCTTTGAGAGGGATCGGGAGAAAGGA